ATTTGATTCTTATATTGAAAGTGTATTAATTTGTGAATTAATATTTGCAAGGCATTTGCAATATTTTTTCTTAGAATGTGCATATTTCCACTTTTAGTGATTAAAGTAACTAAGTCAATAAAATTGAGTTACTTTGGTTTCAGTAAATATATTACGTAATTGGTTGTTTTTTCAAATAATTTACATGACCATTTTGATACCATAATGTGTTTTTAGGATAAGAAGAGTTATTTGGTGGTGCCAATATACAAGATGGGTAGGTAGTTGACTGGCCTGACCTAGAAAATTACTGAGATGCCATGCCAGTTTCCTCATAGAACATCTAGAACAAGATGAATTTTATTGGAGAGGAGATAGACATTAGCTATATCCTCTTCAAATAAGACAATAAAAGTAGTACTGGGTTAGATTGTTGTAGTTACCTTTCAGCTCATAAAAGATGAAAGTCAGGAACATGATTAGTGATACTCAAAGAAAATAACCCGGAGATAAAACTTTAAGCTTCTAATGTGTATGTGGGGACAAGTAAAATGTTTCCCATCTACTGCAAAAGTACTATCTTTATTTACAAAACCTCGTTCTGGAAGGTAATGACATTACTATACTTAACTCATTCTTAGCAAAAGTAAAAAAGTAAATGTCCCCCCCGCCATTAATATCTATATTTCTGAGATGAGGTATTGGAACTATTTATACTATTTACTGTTGTACTATTGTTACGCTATTGTTGTCCTCATCTTTATTGCCATATTCACATTTGTACACTCAGACCTTCTTCAGGTGATATATGTTGGAATTTTGAATGGGGTTAGATTGTTCTAATTCCACATGTTATGCATTTTTTTGGATATCAGTTTCAGTTAATTCCCTTTAGCAACTCAACACTCCAAGTTAGTGTTCCCTCTGCTGTTGACTGTATTAAACTCACAACTCATTGGGTCAAGTCAATTTTTGGATTACTCAACCAATGCTTTTATCCACTGGGCCTGAAACAGAATCCAGCATGATCAGGATAAATCCTAAAGTGCTAGAAAAAAAAAACAATAGCAGAAATTGTAATATGATCTCTGGTAAAAATGGTTACTAAGACTTTAGGTTTATAAGTCCCAAAAATCCACTCAATGATGTCCCCAAAGACACATGATCCTGTGGATAAAAGCATTAATTAAGTAATCCAAAAAGTAACTTATCACAAAGAGTTGTGAGTTTAATACCTGTCCACAGCGGAGGGAACAAAAACAAGAGTTGAGTTACTAAAGGAATTAACTGAAGCTGAGATATCCAAAAAATGCATGGCATGAGTAATTGGAACATTCTATCCTCATGGACTAAATAATGGGTTTAGTTCAAAATTCCAACATATATCACCTGAAGAAGGTCACAGCTGAAATATTGTGAATATGGCAATAAAGATGAGGACAACAGTCTGAACGATGTAAATATTCCCATCATTACTTTGTTTTTTGAAGGATCAACACATAATTGTCAATTTTCTTTGGCATCTTTTCAAATTGCTTGTAGTTCTCTTGGTGTTGATGGTATCCCCTGTAAATAGTCTTGCTGCACTGTTGTGTCTTATTGGACAGGTAGTTGGTTTAGATAGATCCATTCGAGCTGCTTGACAGTTTCCACTAGTGTTGGCTTATTGATTTACTTATCTCTTTTTATTCTGCTGGAATGATCTCAGTTTTCATGTTTGAAAAAATAAGAAGTTGCATGTGATTTGGTGGTCACCATATTCTGTTGTCATCATATTACATCCTATCACATCTTTTTGATTGTGTAAAGCTTTGTATTGAATGGCAGGATGCACTTATCATGTTTGCAGTGTTTAAGAAACATGTTCTTACCAAAGAGGAATGGCAATGTTTAGGTTTGGCATCACTGATTAGCATATATCATCCTTTTTTTCTGAGGTTGTCATTTATAGTTATTCAAGAATGGATGAGAAAAGAAATTTTGGGATGAGGAATATTCATCTTCCTCCAGTGAGGGCTTTGAAAAGAGATACCTTGGTTGCACTGTATAACCCTAGACTGGCAAATAAACAGGAGCTGTTTAAAATGTTTACTGATGGTCAAATAATTTCAAAATGAATTGGGAGACATATTGGGCCAAGCCTAAGAATAAACTTTCCTGTCTATCTCTGATGGGCAATTGTGAACAATCACTAAGCAGGACAAGACACGTATGTGAATGAATAACTGCAGCAGTGGCAAATGGTAATGTCACTAATTTCAAGGGTCTTGTAGGAGCTATACTGTCAACCTTGTTTTTTTCTCTGCCTTGTCTATTGCTGCAGTTATTACCAACAACAGTCATAACATTGATTGTTCCATTTTCTATTTCTGTGAATTCAAATTCTTTTTTTCTGACCTCGTTTTCCATTAACTGTTTTTACTCTCAATACTTTTATTTTTGTTTAGTAAATAAAATCTATAGTTACTAACTGTTGTGAGTTTTCTAAGCGCATACAAATGTTTATTATTTTTCTATTTTCTTAGGAGCAGTTTCAGAAATGGTTTCACTATGGAATACAAATCACTCATATACTACTGGTAGTAATGAATTAAATATGTAATATTGTATCCCTTATGTTAATTCAATTTGAATATTTTATAGAATGCACATCTTTTGCAGAAATGCATTTGAGAAAAGCAAGAACCTTAAAACTGTCAAATTTACAAAATTTCACAATTTTGTACCTTTTCATATGTAAATCTCTTGTTGAAAGATTTCAGATATATATTATTGCAATTAACATGCATGTTTATAAATCATTTGAAGATAGTCACTTTTATAAACTTTAATTTGAAGTCTTCATCATAAAACTTTTACCAGAAAACAAAATTTTAAAATACTTTCACTTAAAAATTAGAACCTACGTGAAAGCTGAGGATGCAATAAACAGTTTAAAATTATTTTAATTTCTTCCTCATTGTGTTATAGTTTTCTCAAGTAAATAAATCAATTTTCAACAATCCCGTTATAGAATTTTATAGATTTTTCTCTTGAAAGTAGCAAGGCAAACATTTATTTTTGCTGATGTTGATTGTTAAGGCAGTGGGTGAGCTTTTACTCATCTCTGTTGACGTGGTGAGCACTGATGTATGAGGAGAGAGCACCTGGCTGCTAGTAACAGCTGTCTACTGGAAAATTAACGTCTCTCAAAGACGATATATTAAATAGACAGCTATAAAAATGGTCATGTTTCTCCTCAAATCAATGTGCACGCTACTATTTCTGAACCTATAATGTGCATTAGGAGATAACTCCTGCCAAGAAATTCTTTTTTAAATGATTTGAATATTGTACATCGTTTTACAATGAAATAAATTAAGTTGTCATAGTTTATGTTACCTGATTACTAACATCTTTTTCTGCAGTAACCAAGGTCATTACATTTAGTTTTTCTTAAAAATAAAATGCTTAGCCAAGCTTACAAATCTGGGATATAATAAGACAAATATGCAAAATGAAATTCATGTCTTCATAATTATCAATTTAAGATATTCTTTATGGTTCAAGATATAATATCTTTCTAAAAATAAGCATGTGAAATATAGATGTGTTGCTTATTCATAAAGTACTATTTATAGCTGCTATTTGGAATGTTAGGGGAGAGTGAAGAAAGCTTTGCTTAAATGCATTCAGTAGTAGCCTGGTTGATCAGGATGTTTGTAAATTTGTGGGGCCTTCTGATAGTTATAATTATTAATTCATTTTTAAGGACCTTTTTTTTAAATTTTATTTGATTCATGATATATTAAGCACTATGAGAAATATTTATTTGCTAATTCAAACCTAATTTCAAATTTTCTTGGTCAACATAAAGTATTAGTAGTGCTGGTTGCAACATCAGCTGTTACTGATGTTTGGGAATATGAATACAGACAAACAATTCCAATTTGTTTTGTTTTTTATCATGCCTTATTTACTTTTTTTATAATTTGCTCACACTTGCCTCTTAATAGTACTTATTAACAATTTCTCAGGATCAGCTATCATTTCAGACCCCAAATAAATGAATAAATGTATTTTTTGTTAATGATTTTTCTGGCAAAATGTGCAAATATTTCCTCTCATACAGACAAAATGTGTGTCAGAAATGGATGATCTGTATTTGATATTGATATATATATATATATATATATATATATATATATATATATATATATATATATATATATATATATATATATAATACCATCACATTGGTTATCAGATCCAACTCTTTTGCTCTAAAAGTAGCATGCTGTTAGATAGGAAAAACTATTGCACTCTTTTTGCAACACCTGTTGATGTAATTTGATAAATTAAATCACAAAAACATTTTTCCCAACCTGCCTTTAAATATTTACTACTTACAGGTAAATGGATAAATTTTGCCCCAAATGTTGCTTATTGCTGAAAAAAATGGCATCAATTTCTTGACTGAAGAAATTGGAATGGCATCATTTTTTTACAAAACGCTTTACACTTATTACCTAATTTGATAACTAGTAATTACACAACTTGGAAGTTTTTTCAACATTTTAATAGTCAAATATATACAAATAAATATTTTTCATGCTTATTTTAATCTCCAATATTTTGAATTCTGTTTTGATGTGATATTTAAAGTGAACTTAATCATCATGAAACATGTTAGATTTTGAACCCCAATTTTATGTCTCTTAATTTTGAACAAATGTTACTCGCAACTGATGCTTGATGACATTGGTGTTAAATCTGAGCACAAAGCAAGGTCAGGATGTATCAAATGACAAAGTAACCAAGATGAGTTTCAATTAATACTATCATTGATCAATATCAACCAGTAATAGATCTTAAGCCCATTGGTTGGCCGTGCAATCACTCGTTCTGTTAGCCTGTTGTTATTTGCAAGTTAAACATTATCTGTGTGTAACTCATTGTCAGCAGCAAATTCACTTTGTCCAATGTCAGTGAATGTCCACAAATCTGATCCAAGGATTACAAAAGAAACAATATTTGAAAGCATGTCATCTGAAGATTCAGACAGTGATAGTCTGGCAAGTATTGGTAAATATAACAGTTTTTATGACAACTGGTTTTATTTATTTTTAAAGCAGTTTTTACAGCTAAAAGGAATTTTTTTATTTATTCTGACTGTTAAGAAAAATGCTCCAAATCCTACTCTACATTCTAAAGTTTAAAATTTTTCTAACATTATCTGTTTAAAATTCTTATGCTTATCTTACTGCATCTGTATTTAAAGCTTTTTATTCAAATTGTTTGCATTCTAAATGTTGAACAAAATTTCAAATCTATTAATGACCTTTTAAATACCTAGATTTTAGCATTTAATCAACTTTATAAACATTCTTTCTTGATGAAATCTCTTAGTGTCTTAAATGTTAATTTTATAAACCCTTCTATTGAAAGGACAATTATGCATAAAAAAGAACAATTAACCAATACATGAACAATGGAAAGAGAACAATCTACTCCTCTAGAATAAATAAAGAATTCACTTTGAAATTCCTTAATGGTGACTGAAATCAACAGGTGCCTGAAGATGGTCAGAGAGCAAAATGGCCAAAATGTTGTGATAATAAAAACAAGTTTGAGGACATTAGTCTGAATGTATATAATGTAAATATTCTGAAAATTTGTTACTTAATATTAAAACTTTGACAATGCATTTTGATAACTACATTCTATAAAATGTGTAAATGTAAAAAATAATTTTACTCTTTGTGTCAAATTGTAATGTACAAGTGAAAATAAATGAAAATGATTTGAGAGAAAAACAAATGTGTTTTTCTATAAAGATATTAGACAAATTAATGACAAAGTGGAAAAAATTTGGTGTAACACGTTTTGTCCTGTAGGATTGCATATGACTAAACTAGTATTTTTATTGATGAAATTGTATATATGTAGGAAGGGGAGGCAAGTGTTCCTTATAATTATGTATAGGTAAAAATGATAAAAATGTTGGAATGCTTTTAAATTATCTTTTTCTACAGTGACATGATTTTCTTTTTTATTACTTATGTCCTTTTTTCATTTAAAAAAGTTGAAGCCTTCTTGCACTGAACTTAAGGTTATACTTGCTTTTGTTGTATTTAATATTTATAGGCATCCCACAGATTTATTAAAATAAAAACAACTTAAAAAGCATTTTATATTTAAATGTTTTTTTAGATGTTAGTCTGTTTTTATTTGAAAGATATCCTAAAACTAACCTGTAAAAAAAAAAGAAAAATAATCTTATGTAATTAAATAGGATTTTAGACATTTTAAAGCATTGACATGGTCATTCATCACACAATAATTCATTGAATTTAAAAATTTATTAAACCAAAAAGTGCTTCTATTAAAAAGAAAAATTGATAAAAGCTTATTGATTAGATAGTGTTAATCAAAAAGGAAATACTTTTGTGAACAGAAATATACAAACAAAAATGATCTGTCATTTATAAAGAATGAAAATTTTAAAAATGAAAAGAAATTCTTAAAAATCATCCATGCATCAAGCTTGACATTTTTTTATGTTTCATATATTTATTTATTAAAAAATCTCTTGTTGTGAACAGCAATGAATGAATTTCAAAGCCACACTGGAAAATTACAACTAATTTAAAAAAAAAAAAATAGATATTTAATGCTGATTTTTTCCTGTCAAATCTGAGAGAAAATAATGTTTTATTAAATTATTCAAATACCAAATTGCAACAAAAAATATCTTTTGAGTTTTATTTAATTATCTTTGGTAAGGTTCAGGATGAATTTTCAGTATGTTTATGGTTGATATTGCATAATTTTAATGAAATACCATCTTCAGTGATTTTCCTTTATATAACTGTAAAAAAATTTAATGCTCACCTCTCAAATTTGACCTTGTAAAAATATTCAACTCATTCCCAAAGAAAAAGTAAAGGAAAAAAAGAATGTATATAAAATGTAAATCCAAAATTTCTATTCCAGAAATAGTTGAGGCGATTTTAAAAAATGTTTCTTCTTTTTTAGTCCAGTTTCTCCTAATGAAGAGAATTTTTGTACAAGAGGAAAAAGTCTAAACACAGGAAGATTTCTTAATGAATTCTCTTACAAACTCTGTGCAGTCTGTTACATCCAGATATTGCTAAGACTATCACATGGATTGACTACTTGATACACTGTCCTTTTATTTATACTTGACGTAGGGATGTAGTTGTAGACACAAAATGCACATGAATATTTAATAGAAAAGTGTTAGTTCAATTTGAATGTGTTGCTTGAAGAGTATAATATTTCCAGTAATAACTATATGTGCTTGAGAGATAGAACTTTGCAGATTAATAATTTGATATGTTTTAAATGCTGTGTAATTTTTATCTTTCTTAGTAAAATATAAAATATAATTAAATTTTATTTTAAGTTGGGATAGCATATCTTATTAATAATTTTCAATAAAAAAGTTTTATTTGCTCTAAAACTGATTAATTAATAGAACATATTCTAATAATTTGTCCACTATAATGTGAATTTGTTTAATTTGTTCATATTTACCAAATTTTAATTTATGTACGTTTTAAAGTATTTCTTCAAAAATACTACAACCTAAATATAGAATAACCTATATCAGTGTCATAAAACCATAATCTTCTAACCTATATCTTCTTAACTTCTATCCCATCTCTTTTCTATTTCCTTTTATTTTGGCTGACTTGTCTCACATAAATTTAGAAGCACATAAACTTAATTTTTATACTTAATTTTCACATAATACAAAGCTACAACATTGTCAGTGATCCAGTAAGTTTCATCAATTTTGTGACTCAATTATTGATGTGTTTGTGCTCAAACAAAAAGTTCTTGTAGAGATTTCTATTATTCTATTTCAACCCATTTGTTTTGGTTGTTGACTAAAAACCTAATTATATAAACTGAATTAGTTTTTATAGAGATGCCAGAATAAAAGAATCAAGCTACAGTGTTCCTTAGTAAGAAACAAACCCTTGTCTGGGCTCTCTTTTCTAATTTGAAACAAAGTTTGTATCTGAATATTCGTTTGAATCTGATTTTTAGATTAAAGATCAAATTTTAGTTGTTTTTATATGAAATACTTTTACTGTATGTATATAGCCATGCTTAAATTTAATTTTGTAGATTGCATTGTAGCCAAATTTTAGAAGTTAACAAAACTCATTACCTATGTATATCTATGTTGAAATCTATGCATGATTGTAAAAGTGAATAACAACTCTTAACATCAGATATGAAAAATATTTTCAGTTTTGGTTTGTTTACTGATTCTATTACCTGTGAAAAAAAAAACAATATTTTTCCATGAAAATTGAATTATAAAATTAATTTTCTGTGAAGTACCACTCAATAATTTTGCTGCTTACTTTTTTTAGTCACTTAAGTAACTAACTTGCTAAAATTAAAGACATTAATGAGAAATATTATCCAGAGCTTTTAATTGCATTGTTCATACTCCAATATGCATTTCAGAATCAATTCTGTTATGAAGCTTCTTTACACAAAATTTCATTTTGTTTGTCATAAGAAGAGATATTTGTACATTCAGCCAGAATAAATCTTTAACAAAAATAGTTCTTCATTTATTTATTATTTGAAATAAATGATCTTGAAAAATTACTACTAAGCACTATTATTGGGTAAATGTAAACATGTTATTAAAAAAATGCAGAAAAACAAATACAAATGGATTGTTGTATTTGCATTCCCAAACCTCAGTAACAGCTGATGCAACAGCAGCACTGCCAATATTTTGTAGTGACCAGGCTGTGTTTATTTATTTATTTGTGTGTGTGTGTGTGTGTGTGTGTGTGTGTGTGTGTGTGTGTGTGTGTGTGTGTGTGTGTGTGTGTGTGTACGCGTGTTGACCAAGGCCAGAACAATAGCTATTCCTACTCCAGAAGACTAAATAGTATCACTGGAAAACATTGTATTTGTCACAGCTGTGCAGAGAGGACAAAATGAAGATAAAGCATGCATTTTGAAATGAAGGGAGACATTACATAATTAATGTCATTTGGCACTTAAAATAGAGAAGATATTCAATAACATCTTTGGTTATGAATGGAATCATAACAGAAAAAGTGGATTTGATTATTTCTTTTAATTATGTTATTAGTGAACAAAATTGACCTCCTGATTTTGGTTATGTAAATTAGCCAATACATTTAGATTATACAATAGCATTAAAATTTTAAATGAATGCCTTTGTTTTAAAGCTTTAATAAGAAAAATGAAAGACTGCAGTGTACAGACATTTTTGTACAATTTCTTCTCTACTGGAATCAGGAAAATATTAATTAATATTTGACAATGTCCACATGAACATCACTCAAATGATTTTATTAGGCATTTTATCAGTATAATATAAAGAAAGTAATGTTTTCATCAGTTCAATCATTGTCATTGTTTTAAACTTTCAGAAAATGGTAATGGTAATAATAACCATTTTCTTATAAGGAAACATTTGACATTCATTGACTGAGCAGCCAGTACTGCTGTTAGATGAAATTTATAAAATCTTCTCTTAAAACAATTTTTCAGGAAAATAGGTTTCTCATGTTAAGTAGCAGTTATTGCTCTTTCTATTATTAATGGAGGTATCCTTCCTAACCTTTTATTTGATTGATTTGTCTGTTTAACAACACATCAACTCCTTATGGGTCATTTGATACCAAAATTTAATTTTCTTGGGAGCTTGGAAGTAATAAAAATTTGATATGTTATTCCACTTTCACAACTGAATACATGGTAGATGATGTTCAGATTTTGTGCATATACATGTTTGTGTGGACATGATTATTAGAGGTGGTGATGTTTGTTTTATGTTGTAGTTTTCTTGAAGTTATATGTAATTTTATACTTTCATAGTGTTTCATTTTTTGGGAGGTTTACTATTAAGTCCTCAAGTGATATGGTTTCTGTTATTTGGTAAAGTTCTTTGTTTGTGATTCTGTAATGCCAGTCCACAAGGTTCGAGGAAATGTGGTCTTCATCAAGGTCCACAGGCTTCATACATTCAAAACAATTTTTAACCATTGATCAGAGAA